CCTCATGCTGGCCTTTCATCCCCACTGAAAATCCGTCACGAATGGCCTCTTTTCCCCACTGAATGTCCCTTCTATTGGCCTTCTATTCCCCAATGAAAGTCCCTCACGAATGGCCTTCCTTCCCCACTGAAAATCACTCATGCTGGTCTTTTATTCCCCACTGAAAGTCCTTCACGAATGGCCTTCCTTCCCCACTGAATCTCCCTCACGAATGGCCTCATATTCTCACCTGGCCCTCTGTACTATGAGAGGCCAGGATCACGTATAATGTAAATGACACTGAATTTACCTGCACGAAACTGGCATTAATGTAGTCACCCTCTTCCTTGCTTTGCAGAACCACGCGGGTGTCGTCATCTGGGTGGAAATTGCGTTGTTAGAAATATGCTTGTAAGTTATAAGTTGTTATGATTATAAAAGAAAAATTGTTAGAAAAAAATTTATTTAGAATTATGATAATTATAAGGTGTTATAATTATAATAGAAAAATGCGTTGTTAGAAAAATGTTTATTTAGAATTATAATAATTATAAGTTGTTATGATTATAATAAAAAATGCGTTGTTAGAAATATACGTATTTAGAATTATAATTATTATAAGTTGTTTTGATTATAATAGAAAAATACGTTGTTAGATATATACTTATCTAGAACTGTAATTATCATAAGTTGTTATAATATTAAAATACGTTGTTGCATTATAACTATTATGAGTTGCTATAATTATGACAGAAAAATCATTGTTTGAACTTTAATAATAAGGGTGTAATTTTAGAACATTAATTAACAAGTAACTGGTACTTTTTAATAAGTCTAGAATTATGAGATTATGAGAGTGGAGAAGATGAAGATGTGGAGATAGCAGTGATGATGATGATGATGAAGGTGATGGTGATGAATGACTATGATGACGGTGATTAATGATAGTGAATATAGTGATGATGATGGTGATGATGATGATGATGATGATTATGGTGATGATGATGATGATTGTGATGGTGGTGATGGTGATGATAGTGACAATGATGATGAACATGAGAAGCAAGAGAAGAATGGTGATGGGGGGGGGGGGTATTACTATCATAAAGATAGTAATAAAGATAATGATAATGATGACAGTGACAGTGATAGTGATAACTGGGAGGAACGATAATCTTTACGATGATGGTGATGACAACAAGAATAGTGACAATAACGATCATGAATGACAATGTTAACGACGATGGTGATAACAATAGACTGTGATTGAATAGATGATGATATTAGTGATGATGATACGAATAATCATGACAGTTGGACGAAAATACATTACCCCCCCACCCCCTCATGCCCCTACTCTCCCCCACTAGATAATAATGATAATGATAATTACAATAATGATGATGATGATAATAATAGTAATAATAATAATAACAATGATAATAATGATAATAATAATAACAATAATAATAATGATAATAACAACAAAAACATTAACAATAACAATAATAATGATGATAATAATAATGATTATTATAACAATAATAATAATGATTATTATAACGACGATGATAACAATAATAGGAATAACAATAAAAACAACAACAACAACAAAAATGACAATAATGTCAAAATACGAAAAAAAAAATACAAAACAAAAAACAAGAAAAGGTACTTACAAGGGATGTTATTTCTGTACCTATTTTTCGCTCGATTTAGCGGTGCACTGAAGATGTTCATCGACTTCTTGAACGACACTGGGATTTTCTGTTGAGAGTGAAGAAATGTGTAAAAAATAAATAAATAAAAATAACAATAAGTAAATAAATAAATAAATAAATAAAAGGGCTTGTCCACGAGTTCTTGGTGTTTCTTAATCCATTGCCGCTGAGGAAAATGAATAAAAAAGAATGGGGAAAATGCTGTACTCATTTTTCTATATTTTCTGTGAAATGTCTCTGCACATAGATGGCTTTGTCTTACCTGATTTCACCTTTCCTTGAATTGGCGGGAAAATGTATTTTTTTAACTATGAATATCAATGGTGTTATTTTTATTATAAACATTATAATTACTATAATGATACAAACGTTAGTAATAGCAAAATAAGATAATGTAAAATAGTTTCGTAAATCAAAGAAAAGGGTTAACGGGCGAGACAGGCAGTACTCGTAACTGGCTCATTAGGGACTTAGTAAAAACGTAGCCCTATATGTGATAAAAAATAATTAAACAAGTAAACTCTCAGTGGGCATAGCACGTACGTACGTGACATGCCCGTCGGGAATAGGTTAAAATGAACTAAAAGGAAGGATATGTGTTTATGTTGAATGTGTTCGTAGGAAAGAGTTTGGATAATATCAGTGGATAACGAACTGAAAAGATTATCTGTGTGTGATGCAGAACAGGAGAGATAAATTAGTTTGGTTAAATTAAAATTTGCTTAGGGCGACTAATGATTGTGATAATGACATTCATCATTTCCTCGGGAGAGAGGGAGGGGAGGGGGAGGGAGAAGGAG